TATTTTTTAGATTTATTGAATAATTAATGTATCTGATATATATATATATATATATATATATATATATATATATATATATATATATATATATATATATATATATATATATATATATATATATAATATATATATATATATATATATATATATATATATATATATATATATATATATATATATATATATATATATATATATATATATATATATATATATATATATATATATATATATATATATATTAATTATTCAATGAATCTAAAAAATAAATTTCTCTTATATTATGGGACAGATGAAGTATAATTTATATGAATATAAATATACCCTAATGCGGTATCATTAAACACATATTATAATTCAGAAAATACTTTTTCAATAAAATAAAAATTAAGACGGATACAAATTTCTCTTAATTAAGAAGTATTGCCAACATCTATTCGTAATTAAGAGAAATTTGTATCCATCTTAATTTCTCTTTTATTGAAAATGTGTTTTCTGTATTATAACATGTGTTTAATGAGACCACATTAGGATATATTTATATTCATATAAATTGTATATAATAAAGTAATACAATTGAAACACCTTAATTCTAGTTGATACACATTGATTTTAATTTATTTTTAACACTCCATTAATTCATATGTTTATATCTGAGAACCATCTAAAGACGAAATATTAAATTATTTCAGATATACATATCTAAAAATTCTTTAAAAATAAAATATTAAATGTGCTCAAATACTATTTGATGGCATAGGATATACATCTCTAAACTCATTTAATAAAAAAATAAAATGTGACGAGTTCAATATACATATTCAAATTAAATGATATTAAAAAATTTCATCAAAAACCTCTAAAAACATATTAAGAAACTCCTCCATTTTTACTTTTCTTATTGTTCGCCACAAGAAATTATAATACTTAGCGTGGGTATAATGCGCCACCCGAACACTAAATTATGCCTATAGAAAATTTTGCAGAAGATCTTTTTATTTTTGTGAAGCAATATGCAAATAATGAGTATTTACCTTCTTTATTTTGAGTTTTTATTTTAAAATAAAATTAGATTAAAATTATATTCTCCCATCTTATTTTAGGGCGTTCCTTTAAATTTTATACACTTTTTCATATATAATAAAATAAAATAAAATTAATTGATTTAAATAGAAAAAAAAGTTGTATTCATTTAAATATTCTAATTAGTAGTAACACAATAAATATCTTTTTTAATAATGGTTGGTGAAAAAAATCATTTAAATACAAATTCATTTAAAAAAATTAAGGGATTAACTCGTTAGTAACATTCAACTTTTTGAAAAAAATGTTACTAACATTCAACTTTGATCAAAATACAATGTTTTTGGCCTATTCAAAAAACGAAAATATCATCTACATTTATTATTAAAAAAAATAAGATTTGATTTTCGTAATATTTTAACTAATAATATCCTGTCAAGTCAAAGGATGCATAAAGTGTAATAAATCAAAGTGTATCCACTCAAGTCAGATGATAATATATTATACTTCTTTCATTCCTTTTAAAAGGGTTTATTTATATTTAAGAAATGTTATATTTATTTTTTCTTTTCAAAATTCAAAGTCGCATTCCTTATTTTGAATAATATTTTGAATTTTTTATTTTAAATTAAAAATGATAAAATGAAAAGAAAAAAAGAATAACATATTTAGCTATCAATAAAAAGGTAAACAAAACATAAAAATAAGCATAATAACATATATCATATGTTAAAAAATTAATAAATATTAAAAAAATGAAAAGAACTGGTTTCTCTTGTTTCTTCCCATTCTCTTTATTATTATTATTATTATTATTATTATTATTATTATTATTATTATTATTATTATTATTATTATTATTATTATTATTATTATTATTATTATTATTATTATTATTATTATTATTATTATTATTATTATTATTATTATTATTATTATTATTATTATTATTATTATTATTATTATTATTATTATTATTATTATTATTATTATTATTATTATTATTATTATTATTATTATTATTATTATTATTATTATTATTATTATTATTATTATTATTATTATTATTATTATTATTATTATTATTATTATTATTATTATTATTATTATTATTATTATTATTATTATTATTATTATTATTATTATTATTATTATTATTATTATTATTATTATTATTATTATTGTATTGAATTGAAATTAATATTATTTTGTTGAATCTTTTATAATTATTTGGTAAAAGAATAAAAAAAAATTTATTTATTTTTATTTTTATTATTATTGTTATGTATTAAATTTTAAAACTACTTTTTCTTTTAAAAGTGATAAATATATATATATTTTATTCTTATAAGATTATATATATTATAAATATCTTAAAATTTATGAATATTCATATAATATATACTTATACAAATATAAAATAAATATATATATTATATTTATTAAACGAGTCGGATAGGAGAAGATTAATATTTATTTTCATAAGTATTCGTTACAATCTTTAATACCATTTTATGTAAGGTCTATTTTTAAAGCGAAGGATTCCACATTTTTCACCTAATAAGAGAATAAACATTTGAAAAAGTGTAAAATAGAGAGTACCACTAGCACCTCTCATAAAGTTTAGAATGAAGTATGAAAAATTAGTGAATGACTAATCTCAGTTACATCCTCAAGAAAAAAACAAAAAGATTAAATAAAGAAATATAATAATAATAATAATAATAATAATAATAATAATAATAATAATAATAATAATAATAATAATAATAATAATAATAATAATAATAATAATAATAATAATAATAATAATAAAAATAATAATAATAATAAAGATTAAATATATTTATGGTCCTCTTAAATATTTTAAATTTTGTTTTTAGTTCTTTAAAATATTTTCTTTAAATAATAATCATTCTATAACTTTTCATCCACATTTTTGGTCTTTCTTGTAATATAGTGGTGATTTTTTCAACTAGTGACAAAATTATCGACGTTTTTAACGACTAATTATTACTTAGAAATATTTTTAGCGACGGTTTTAGTATTAACGATCAAAAGTGTAGATGAAAAAATTTAAAAGAATCGTTCTTTTAAAGAAAATATTTTGAACGACTAAAAACGAAATTTGAGATATTTAAAAGCATCTCAAACATATTTAATCCTAATAATAATAATAATAATAATAATAATAATAATAATAATAATAATAATAATAATAATAATATATTTTAATTAAATGAAAATTTACTTTATATATTATACACTTTTTTAAATTCATGATTTTCAAAGAGAGAATAATTGTGTAGATTAATATATATATATATATATATATATATATATATATATATATATATATATATATATATATATATATATATATATATATATATATATATATATATAAATAAAGACATTTGGTGATATTCACTTTTTATACAAAATTTAAGATATTTAAGAGCATCTCAAACATATTAAATCCTACTAATAATAATAATAATAATAATAATAATAATAATAATAATAATAATAATAATAATAATAATAATAATAATAATAATAATAATAATAATAATATCTTTTAATTAAATGAAACTTTATATATTTTCTACTCTTTTTTAAATTCAAGATTTTTAAAGAGAAAAATACTTTTGTAGATTAATTTTTCAATATATTTTCTTTGGTTAATTATGATATTTGGTGATATTCATTTTTTATTTGTGTTTTTAAATTTTTTCCGAGATAGACTGGACATGTCTAAATATAAAAATACAAATAAAAAATAATATCTAGGGGTGTTCAAATCCAAACCAATCCAAATAAAAAACCGAAAACCGATTCAAAAAATCGAACTGAAAGTTATTGGTTGTGTTTGGATGTTATTTTATGAAAATCGATCGGTTCGGATTGGATTTCGGATGAATTTTTCAAAACCGATCCAAACCAAACCGAACCGCATAAATATATTTTGATATTTATTTACTTTTTATTAGTATGACATGTTATGTGAATTTATTATTAGATGATAATAATTTTTTTAATAATATTTATTAGTTTGGTATAATCTATTTATTTTTATTATTTCAAGCATAATCAATCACTCTCATTTTGTAATATTAACTTTTAATATACTATATGTTATATATTATATCAAATCTATGATTTATTAGTAGTTTTATAATATTAATAAAAATATAATGTGTAATTTGGATATCCAAAAACCGATCCAAATTAAACCGCATAAAATTGAATTTTTTTTAAATATATCATTCAAAACCGAACCGAACCTTAAGTGAATTAATCTTTAGATCGGATGAGTTTTTGCTTTAAAATCGATCCAAACGGAACCGCGAACACCCCTAATAATATCACCAAATATCATAATTAACCAAAAAAAAAATATTAAATAATTAATCTACAAAAGTGTTTTTCTCTTTGAAAATCTTGAATCTAAAAAAGAGTACAATATATAAAGTAATCTTTCATTTAATTAAAAGATATTATTATTATTATTATTATTATTTTTTTATTATTATTATTTGAAAATCAAAATATAGTAAAAGGACTAAAAGTGATTCAAAACAAGTCAAAATATATTATTATTATTAGTATATAGATAGTTTAAAACAAGTCAATTATTTGACTAGATAGAGAAATCTAAAATTATAAATAGAAAATTTTAATAAAAAATTAAAATTTAAAAGGAAAAAAAAGCTATACCAAAAAGTAGTATTGGCCTTATATGATCGTATAAAATAATTTATGGAATTAATTATGAAAAAATATAAATATAAAATCAGTAATTAAAATTTATCATAATAATATACTTAATTGATAAAATACTATTAATATATATTTTGAGTAAAATAAAATTCATTCTTCTAGAAAACAATTATCTCAGTATTTATATTAGAGCTTACAAACCTTAAAAATGCAATATATAACATGAATGAGTAGCTAAGTTCATTGAGAGAAGAATGGAAAAATTAAAACAAAGAAAAGTGATATCTGAAAAAGAAGAGGAAGATTTCATCAGCAAGCTTCCTGATGTACTTTTATCTTGTATCATTTCTTTACTCCCATTCGTAGAAGGTGTGAGAACTAGTGTGCTTTCAAGACGTTGGGAAACAGTGTGGAAATACTCATCTCACCTTGATTTTGACCAAGGGAAAATGTTGAAGCCTTTGATCGACAAATACATTCAAACTTCTGATCCAACTACACGCCTTAAAATGGCTATGTGTCGCAAGGTACAATGTAGAAGTAAATTTTTGCTAACTTTTTAATAAAAAAGGATATTGATATAATATCATCAATCTTTGGCTAATATTTGAAGTTTATCAAATTTGTGCATGACAGATATCTCCCGGAGATGAGCGATATTTTGATACAATTGCTGAAGCAGCCATGTTGATTACATCAATTATGGACAATCACATTGGTCCTTTGAAAAGTTGTAGTATTCGACATTTAGTTGAGAGTTGTGCAAGTGGGGATGTTGTTGGGTGGATGAGAAAGCTTTTGGAGAAAGAGGTGCCAGAGGTTTCAGTGGAACTTGAATGCTTTGATTATTTTCGCTTGATAAATGATATAGTCTTAATGGAAGTTGGATGCACCCTCAATATTCCTTTTGAAGTTTTCTCTAATTTTAAGGTTTTTAAGTTGAAGAACTATAGATTCACACCTACACATTTCTCAAACTCTTCTCAGGTCTTACAGACTCTTACTCTTGACAATCTGGATATTAAACCAAACAATTTTCAAGATATCCTATCTCACTGCTCCTCTCTTGAAAACCTTATCATTGCTAGATGTGATTCATTAGGAGTCAATGTTAAGATTGATAGTTTGACTATTAAATATCTCAAAATTCATGATATGATCGTGCAAAACCTTTTGATCTCTGCTGTTAACGTTGAAATTGTAGAGATTGACTCCATTATTTGTGATATTGGAGAAATAATTTTTGAGACCCCAAAACTTCAGGTTCTCCATGCATTTAGTGATTTGGAAAAATCTAAACACTTTTTGTCTCTTTATGGAAATATGGTTTTAGGAACAACGGATATCCATAAAAGATACCGTGCATCGGTGAGTCTTTCTTTTCTACTTTACTTACTTTTCTTTTGTCAATTGGTTAATGTAAATCATATATACATGAATACTAGTATTTTTAATTTGAGTTGCATGAGTATATATATTTTTAAATATTTAATGTGAGTATCTATTATTTATAATGACAAGTCACTCTAATAAATATCCAGCTATAATAACAACCATAAATTATATATGTGATTCATAGGATTAACATTACTACATATATTAATATTTGTTTATATTCTTTTTATAACTATTAATTATTGTCTTAGGGTTACCGAGGTTCAAGCATGGGAAGTATATTTCAAAATCTGGTTACCCTTTCCCTGGATTTAGATTTGGAAAAAAGTATTAATTTAATAGCTCTCTATTCTGCCCTGAAGTTCTGCCGCAGACTGATGAATCTTGAAATTAATAACAAGGTGCGTGAGAATTGGTTCACAACTATTTAATCCTATTGTTGATTGTATACATTATCGTGATCACAATTACATTGATTTAAAGTCATGAATTTTATGTTTTCTTTTAGGTAAACTTGGGCAAAGAAAATGAGACATATGATGAGAATACCGATGATTCTATGTCGTACGGAGAATATATGTTTTGGCAAAAAATGGAGCCATGTGAGTGTATTAATAACCAACTAAAGTTTGTCCGTATAAAGGGATACAAAGGTGGAAAATTTGAATATGAATTTGTTAAGTACTTAATAACAAATAGCCAAGTTATAGAGAATATTATCCTCTGGTTTGTGGATGACTCTTCATGGGTTGAAGTTGTTGCAACTATATGTTTATTATCATATCCAAAAATTTCTTCTAAATTATCCATTGATCTCAAGCCTGGACCGGAGTATAAGAAAAAGTATGGAGATAACTTTGAAAAGTGGGTTACAACTCTAAAATAAGGGATGTATTGTAATTGTTGGTTTTTGAAACTGTTCTTGGGTTTTTTTTGTCTTTCAATTTCTTTTACTGTTTTGTTCCTTTGGTTGCTTGGGTGTTATCTTTGTTTTCTAAGTCCCATTAGCACATTCCTTCTTGTGCTATATAATAATAATGTTCTTTGTATTTTCTTGGACTATTATTACCCCCTTTTTTTTATATGATATATTTGCTATTAAAAAAATATTGGTTAGTAAAATCAAAATGTCCTAATATAATATATGAGATTAATTTTTAAGTTTTTATTTGACTTATGTTTATCAAATTATAAAGTATTGGTGTTTTTTATTTAATATATTAGATTTTTATTAAATGTTAATTATATTTAATTTATATAAATTAATCATGTGTTAAAAAAGACACTAATTGAGTATTCTTTATAAAACTCTAAAGAAAAATAATATGTTTAAATATAATTTTGATCTCTCTATTTTATCTAATTCTCGAAATTAGTCTATCTATTTTAAATTTATTTTAAATTTAAACAGTTTTAATCCTCTTATTTTAAATTCAAATAGTTTTAGTCTCCCTTTCATATTTTATCATAAATAATCGATAAATTTTTTTATTTTTTAACTTATATTTTTATTTACAAAGTTCAATAATAAATTTATATACGATAATTTATCATATTTTATAAATGATTTTACAAATAAACTTCTCATTTTTGCTTATTTTTTCTTCGCCACAACAAATTATAATACTCAGCGTGGGAGTATTACGCCACACAAACACTAAATTATGCCTATAGAAAATTTGTGCATTGGATCTTTTATTTTTGTGAAGCAATATGCAAATAATGAGTATTTACCTTTTTTATTTTGATTTTTTTTTTAAATAAACATGGATTAAAATTATATTCTCCCATCTTAATTTAGGACGTTCCCTTTAAATTTCATAAACTTTTTTTTATATAATTAAATAAAATTAAAATAATTAATTTGAATACTAAAAAGAGTTTTATTCATTTAAATATTCTAATTAGTAGTAACACAATAAATATTTTTTAATAATGGTTGTTGGAAGAAAATATTTTTATATCAATTCATTTTAAAAAATTAAGAGATTAACTCGTCAGTAACATTCAAGTTTTGAAAAAAAATTACTAACATTCAACTTTGAGAAAAATACAATGTTTTTGGCCTATTCAAAAAATGAAAATATCATCTACATTTATTATAAAAAACAAGATTTGATTTTCGTAATATTTTAACTAAGAATATCATGTCAAGTCAAAGAATACATAAATTGTAATAAATAAAAGTGTATTCAGTCTAGTCAGATGATAAATATATTATAAATCTTTCATTCCTTTTAAAGGGTCTATTTATTTTTAGAAAATGTTAATACTTATTTTTCATTTTCAAAAGCCAAAGTTGCATTCCTTATATTGAATAATATTTAAATTAAAAATGATAAGATAAGAAAAAATGAAAAACATATAGCTATCATAAAAAAAAGTAAAAAAAAACATAAAAAAAAACTAAAGTAATAATATACTATATGTTAAAAATTTAATAAAATTAAAAAAAAAATGAAAAGAATTTGTTTCTCTTGTTTCTCCCCATTATTTCTTTATTATTATTATTATTATTATTATTATTATTATTATTATTATTATTATTATTATTATTTAATAAAAATAATTTATTGAATAAAAAACAAAAAAGAATGAGGGGACATCAAATCTAGCATATCAAAAAGCTAACAAAAATGATAGTTAGACATATTTAATCTATTTCTCAAAAAAAATCAAAAATAGAAATAGAAAGTAAATATCACCAAATGTTATAATTAACAAAAACAAATGATATTGAATAATTTATTTACACATGCATTTCTTTCTTTAAAAAAATCTTGAATTTAAAAAAATTTATAATGTATAAAGTATTCTTCCATTTAATTGAAAGATATTATTATTATTATTATTATTATTATTATTATTATTATTATTATTATTATTATTATTATTATTATTATTATTATTATTATTATTATTATTATTATTATTATTATTATTATTATTATTATTGTTGTTGTTGTTGTTGTTGTTGTTGTTGTTGTTGTTGTTATTATTATTATTATTATTATTATTGTTGTTGTTGTTGTTGTTATTATTATTATTTTTGGATTAAGTATTTTTGAGATTCTTGTAAATATCTCAAAATTCTTTTTTAATCGTTCAAAATATTATTTTTTTTAAATGATCTTCTTAAAACTTTTCATTTTATACTTTTGGTCCCTAATACTAAAATCATCACTAAAATTGTCGCTAAGTAATAAATCATCGCTAAACTCGTTGTTAATTTTGTCACTATGTAATGCTCGGTATAATTATTCCCTAATAACTATTTATAATTATATGTTAGTAATGACTGTTAGAGGATAATTATGCTAAACATTTAGTTAGTAGTATATTGGATTTAAAAGAAACAATTAAATGAGCGAAAATGGGTATTACGGTCTTTGTGCAATTAAGAGACAACTTAGGGGTTGTTTGGCTAAGACTCATTGTCATTATTGGAACAAAATTAGAATTTTAGAGAGAAAGAGAGAATGAAGCGTAAAAGGGAGAAAGAAGAAGAAGTCTTTTTTTTCAAAGTTCAAGCTTTCTTCAACCTTGCATGCACCTCAAGTTCAACTATCATCACCTTTTACTTATGATTTTTGCAGTTCTTCGTCATCCTCATCAAAGCGAGTCTCTTAGATAGAGACCTTGGGGGTTTTTGTGGGTTATCATGAAATTGAGATTTAGGGTTTAAGTGAGAAATCCTTGTTGCATGCTTACAAATAATGATGTGTCCTGCCTGTATTTTTGTATTTATGTGTTATGAGTACTTGGATTAAGGGTACGAAAATAAGGGTACAGATATGAGGGTTTGGGACCTCAAGTCAGAACTGTTGCAGTTCTGATTTTCTGCATTTCGCAGACCGCACTTACCGCGCGGGGAAGCGCTCAACGCACCCTCTTGGAACTGAACTTGCATGTTTTCTCAGAGGGCGCTTGGACACCGCTTAGCGCGCCCTCCCGAGCAGAATTTTATTGTTAATTCCCTTGAGTGTCGTCCAGTATCGCAGTGGATACTAGACGCCTTCTTAACCTTTGTGAATTATGGAAACGTATTGAGGGATGCGTAAAAACCTTCCGTGATCACTTAATATGCTAATGCTATGAATGTGTATGTTAAAATGCTATGTTAAAATGCATTATATGTTAAAATGCTATGTTGTAAATATTTACTGATTCCCGTTTGTTCCGGTTGAACGTTCAAAAGTGTTTACATGTGTGGCTTGATGAGTATGTGATTGTATGATATATGCTTGAATCGAAGTTGGTCTGGCTATTAGATGGAAAATCACTTATGACTTATGTTGTGTGATCACTTGTACCATTGTGATGCGCTTGTGTGGGTCTGAAAAAGAGGCGTTTCCACCAGCAGTTAATAACAATAACATTCTCGGTATGTCATACACACCTGAGCTACCATTGCAATGTGTGGGAGGGGGTCTTATAGGGCGTTTCCCCACCCAGGTGACACATTGGCGTGCTTGGTATGGTGAATAGATGTGATGCCACGTACGTAACATCACTTCAGACTCACCTCTAGTGATGCCAAGTAAGCTGCATCATTAGACTTTTGCCCGGTGGGTTTGTGCTGTCAAGAAGGAGCATTTTTTTTGCACAAAGGTACTCACTTGCGCGTAGATGATTGACGATGTCGTAACGCCACTTAGGCAATGTTACTTTGGAACCTAACTCCTCATGGATGATATTATATATAGGATCCATCTGACTCATCATGTGGTGTGCGTGTGCAAGTATTTTGACGCGATACACTTGGTTACTCATCGAGGGTGTGAATGTATGGTCTATGTAGCAGGCAGAGAACTTACTTCCGAATTCCTCGTGCACGGGTATTGGTCTACATATTTGTTTGTGTTCGGCTATGTTCTTGTTGTCATCTCATTGGTTAGTTATGGGACTTCCAATAATGATCTAACCCTGTTGTGTATGTTTGCACCGGACCGTGAGGGAATCCCAGATTCGCGGTGAATCTGATTTAATTGCATGTACCTTGTAGAATCGAGTTAACCTTTAAGACAGGGAGACTCACTGAGATTTAGTAATCTCACCCCATTCCAATTATTATTTTTCCAGGGTGTTCAAGGCAATATCGAGGAAAGGGTAAGATGATTTAGTCTTGCGGTGATGTTTCTTGGCGATACTTTGTTTCTTCTATATCTTTATGATTATGTACCTTTGGATCATGTGTTAGTAATTTTGGGATTTGTACCTTTTTGTCCATGACGATTTCGGCATTGTATTTTATAATAATACTTATATCCATTTCCGCTGCTTATGTATAATTTCAGTGTGCCTTTTTAATACCATATGCATATATTCTAGGCAATGTATGCGTGGGGTGTTACAGTTGGTATCAGAGTAGGTCGATTCTTGGCTTTACTATGAAACATCACAAGTCAGCTCAATTCTGCCTCATATGTGTAATTGTCGGCATGATTCCTTATGTCTTACTTATAGAATTGAGCATGATCAACTTGATTCTATGTGTAGAACAAACATGAAGATGGTTGATGGACGCTGTGATACGGTGGGAGAACTGACTTGGGTGTTTTGCGTTTGATTGCAAATGTTGCGGTTAGCAAGAGTTGCCACCGACTTTTCTTTTATCCAAAAGGAAAGGCTGAAAAGAACAGGAAATACCTTTGAGATTATTTCTTGAGTTCGGGGGGTAGATTATGAAAAGGGAAGGTGTTAGCACCCTTTTCATCCATAGTTATCTATGGGCTCTTAGTTGCTTGCTAGATCACTTGCTTTTGTTTGAAAATGTGCTTTGTGTGGTTTTTGAAAGTATTTTGAAAAGGCGCATTCGTTTAGGAAAACTTTGTAATAGTTCTCATGCGTAAGAACGTATACAAAGTGTTGAGCTTTTGAAAATAT